ACACTCCTGACTGGACTGGAGACACTGCTGTCCCTCTCCTCTCACACTCCCCTGAATTCACCGGCACACAGGCTGGAAGTCCATCAGCAGAGAGAAAGGGGAATGAGGGGAAGAGGCTGTCTGTAGCAGAGGTGAGACAGAGACGAGCAGAGAGGGAGCGTGACTGCGTCAGAGCCTCATGGGAGCTGTCCGTCTCCGGCTGCCATAATCACAGGAAATGAGCTGGCAGCTCAGCCCGAGCTGGTGAGTCACCTGCCCCCCGGGGGGGCAGACAGGCCTGGCAGACCTGCGGAGGGACAGCCCGTCGGTGACCCACGTCCCGGGACACCCCTCGTCCACGCAGAGGGTCAGCACTGACCAGGCTGCCCCGAGCGGACCGAGCCGCAGGCTCTCACCCGGGGGTCCGGTCGCCTAGCGACGGCAGAAACACCCCGAACCCCAGAGACCCCCGGAGCCACTGGCTGCCGACCCAGCACCCTTCCACACTCCCACGGCTCATCGGTTTTTCTGTGCTCGATCACTGGGCTTCCAGCATCACAATCGTGCTCTTCCCGGAATGTTTGTGGGATTAATTCCCATGAATCCAGCTCGGCACCGTGGAGGCTCCCTGCTCCCGCCAGCCCGGGACGTCCCGCCGAGACCTGCGTCACCTGGGGCTGCCGGCGGAATTCTTCTCCGGCTGTTATTTACTCAACCAGGCGGGTTCTGCTGCATTCCTGGACTTATTTCAAGCATTTCATTCGGCACAAAACTGCCCTGCACATAACCACATCACCCTCCAACAGCGGACCAGAATAAAAAAAAAAATTTTCTTGATGGAAAAAAAGATGGAAAAAACAAGCAAGATCTGGATTCGGATGGGATTTCCCAGTTTTTCTGGAAACTCCGCGACCCCTGTTCCCCAAGGAGACCAGATTCTCCAGGAGGATTCTCACGAATATCCCATTCCGGGACGACAGGCGGTCTGACCCAGGCAGCAGGATCAGTACGGAGAAGACGGATCAATATCTTCTCCAGGGCCAGTCGGCTCCTCTTCCCTGCACTCTGCAGTAGGATCATCGAACTGATTGCTCAGTTGATCCAATATGAACCCCTCTCCCTTCGAGAGGGGGACAGGGTGGCCAGTCCTCACAGGACACCGTGACCCGCTGACCGCTCCTTCGATCGGAAG